TTTTTTTTTTTTTTTTTTTTTTACACAAGATTAGAATTATTTTAGACGTATTTAATTTTTTTATTATTATTTGTTCTATTAAAATCACTAGAATAAAATAATTATTGACTTCCAGCCAGTGTTTAGAAAGCAAAATAAAACAATAATAATATCATAATTCATTATATATAATATATATATATATATATATTAATAAGTTAAAGTTACTGCATTAACTTAAATATTTTATAACATTCTTTGAATTGTCCACAGACTCCCTACACTCCCTTGTAGTTCTCTGGTGTCCTAGGCCGGACCTTCATTTGAAAACCTCTGCTGTCGGGTATCGGTTCATTAAATAGTCATAGTGTTACAGGAATGCTGATCATTAGATTTTGCTGAGATACTACAGGCCCTGGTCGACATGAAACCTGATCTTTAACCCTCATTCTCCTTGATTGGGACCACAGACATGCATCATGTGGCAGTGGGAAGGCAAGATGGCCATTTAAATAGTGTGAGTTCCAAGCACTGACTCTAGAGGGCTCTGCAGTCAAGCCTTTTCGTCATTGTTGACTGCATTGTTGACATTGCTAATGCGCTGGGAGATGATTTGTAGGCCTTCTGCATAGGCAGAATTGATAGTTTTAGTAGAGCAGGGCTGTTTTTCCCCACACTGCTTTATAAAAGCTTTTGTAATGTTGAAAATTGAGAAAAATGTGGAAATTTATCTAATACAGAGGAATTGTTGAGAGTGAGTTTAATTTCATTAGTGTGTTATAATGAACAGTGATGTCAGTGCTGGAGTTTGAAGTTTATAATGCTCAGCTGTGTTCACTGCGGCTGTCATCGGTGGTGGATCATGTCATTGAGGGTGCTAGATTTAATCATGGTGTCATCAAATAAAATATCTTTGTTTGATTACTTTTGATTGAAAATGATAATCCCACCTACAACACATTGTAAAAGAGAACGTATTTTTATGTAGAAAAAGTGGTTGAAATTGTTATTGACAATTTTCTTTGTGTTTCTTTACAGCTGAGTTAAGGCTGCTCTGTGCCTGCTAAAAATTCAGTGTAAAAGTCAGACTAAGTCATGCTTGCTCTGACCCACCTCAGCCCCTAGTATCAAATTATACAGCTGCAGTTTTTGTGTAAATGCATTTATGCCACTTCTGAGCAGCCAAAAACTGTGTAAGGACACCTAAATGCCACATTAGAAGTGCTTCTGTGCCACCTTTGCAGTGTAAATTTAATGACACAAATCTACGTGCTGTGTCATTTGTAGATAGTTCATTTGAGAGACTTTTGGAATCACTGAGGAGATGCTGCACCCTAGTGCTATTGTGTGGTACTGAAAATATTAACAACCATCATATGACCCATCAACCAATAGGCCTATACTATTTCTTCCAGGTCAGTTTTTGGGGAGGACACTATGTAGTACTGTCACTTTAAGAGTGAAGTTTCCCAACTCCAATGGTCATGTGTTTAAGTGTCCAATACAGTAGCATACCAGTCTTTGTACCACACACACACACACAGACAGTTAAAATGCTGTGTTAGCCTTATGACAGATACAGTGCTGTTGTGGCCCCCGTCCTCTCCCATCCTGCATGCACGCAGTCTGTGGCCTTGTGTCAAAACTGTTTGGTTGTGATGAGAGCTGGACGTTTGAATATTTGGAGCACCTGAGTGTAAACTGTGGCACACTTTTTGTGATTTGGCGTGTTTGTTTAGTTAGCCAAGAAGATTCTTCATGGGAAAAAAAGGATGTAGGAACAAGGTCTGTCTTTTTGGTTCCAGGACAACTGTCTCTTAATTTGAGAAGAAAGAAGCTGACTTGAATATCAGATGCCTTCGCTTCCTCGTTTTGCCTCAAGCTGCTGTCTCAAAAAGTTATTTTGTTGTCATGGTGAAGATTGTTTGGACATTTTAAAAGCTGTGCTTTTAATAATAATTCATTACATTTATATAGCGCTTTTCTAGGCACTCAAAGCGCTTTACATTGTCAGGGGGTATCTCCTCATCCACCACCAGTGTGCAGCATCCACCTGGATGATGCGACGGCAGCCATAGTGCGCCAGAACGCCCACCACACACCAGCTTACTGGTGGAGAGGAGACAGAGTGATGAAGCCAATCAGTAGATATGGGGATTGTTAGGAGGCCATGATGATCAGAGGCCAATGGGCAAATTTGGCCTGGATGCCGAGGTCACACCTCTACTCTTTTCGAAAGACATCCTGGGATTTTTAATGACCACAGAGAGTCAGGACCTTGTTTTAGAAACAACCAAGACCCATCTCTGATAATCAGTCCGGTTTTGTTTCTTTGTGTTTGAAGGAAATCTGGATTTGTGCTAAGTGGAACTGGACCTGAAAAGAAACCTGCTATCAGTGCTGTCTTGTTCACTCTTGCTCTGCCAGGAACCTATTGATTAGACAGAGCAAAACGTCATGTGCGTATTCACTGAGAGCTGTTTACAGACATCTGTGAGTCAATGAACCGCAACGAAGTAACTCATTCAATCAGTTTGTGTTTGGGCAAACTAAAAGCTCTTAGCTGTTTGGGATTTAATTCATGCGCCATTAAATTACCAGACTGTGGCTTGACAGATCATTTAAAAGGGAGTCATATTTATTGCTTAGAAAGAAGCAATGGTAAGTATAGATCGAAAAAATGAATTGAAACTTTTTAGTTCCCAAACGAAGCTCTCAGCGTGGTAGGTTTGTTCAGCAGTGCCGCGCATCTCAAAGGCTAGCTGTGTTTTTGAGCTTGAAGAAAGAAAGGTACTAAAATGGATCCAATATAGCACAGGAAACAGAAGATGACACGGAAGAAGGGAGGCTGTGACCAAGAGACTGATGGGGATGGCTGGAAAGGGGACTGGTGTCAGAGGAAGCAGCTCCGAGGATCTACAGGAAGTTCTCATTGCGCTTTGAACTGATGCTTGAGAAAATCCACTGGACAATCTGTTTGACTGTTCAGTTAAACTGTGATCTCTGAACCATCAGCGGTGTTTCCTGCTCACACATCCTCTGAAAGAGAGAGGGGAAAAGTCTAGGGTGCAATCCTGATGGAACTATTTGGAATTCAGCGATGAAATGTTTGGAATAATGAGTGCAGTGTTTTGGGAACCAGCTTTGCGTTAGTCTGGAGTGCATTTAAATTTATTCACATTTTATTCATATTATTTTTCTTCATTATTTGATTCTTTGAATCAGTTTTTGATTTTTTTTTTTATGTTGTTGTCACTGAAAGCAACCCTAATTTAACTTGTCACTTTAATCTGTAATGTTGTCTAATCAACCTTTTTTTAGTAGCATAACTTTGTAGGATCCTCATTTGAGCATATTTCCCACATTTTTGCCAACAAAAGACATTTTGTGTAATTTCTTTTGTTACTTTTAACTTAGAAACACATTATTACCAAATGTTTTTTGTCTTTCTTAACAAATGTTAGAATGAAATGATTGTGTGTGAAGGTGCAGATAGAGATGTAGACTCTTAAAGGAGCTTTGGCCTGATTTGATTGTTTTTTTTTTTTTTTGGAAACCGTGTTACCTTTTGAGGAATCTTGAACAGCACCACAGGATTCTGTTCTGCTTACGGACCGCTGGCCACAGCAGCTGCAGCTGGCACAATAAACTTGCATGTGCGAGTGCATTGTTGATAATTTACCCTTGCAGTGCTAAAAACTGCTTGACCACTGACATGCTCTCTGTCTGACTACTGGGACGTGGGGCCGATCACAGGGGTTGCCATGGAAATCAGTAGTACATTTGACAACATGCCTGGACTGACACATGATCGGCCAGTGCAAACGTCCTCATTCTGCCAGCAGTTTGCGTCTGTCGGTTATTTAAAAGTGGTATATAAAATCAACTGGCTCAAGTACTGCTGTATCTGAACGTAAATGCTTAATTTATATTGTGAAATCATCATTTAATAGTTTTTTTCTTCTCTACACAGATGGGGCAGGAAATTATGATGTTGTGAATAATGTTGTCATTCCGACCCCAGGAGCACCAGACCCCAGGGCCCAGAATTCTTTGCGGCAGAGTTGGGAAATGAACTACCAGGAAGCAGCAATATACCTGCAGGTCACCTTTTGAACCTCCATACGCTCAGTGAAGCAGTAAAATAGATGCAGATGATCACAAACACACACTCAGGGCTAATAATAATTCTCCCTTGCCAATTTGTCTGTGTTTGTCTTCAGGAGGGAGAGAATAATGACAAATTTTTCACTCATCCGCGAAATGCCCATGCGCTCAGTGCCTACCTGTTTGCTCACAATCACCTTTTCTATGTGATGGAGCTTCTGACTGCGGTGTTACTCATGCTTCTGTCCCTCTCAGAGGCCCCTGCCGTCCCCTTTCTCCGCTTGGACGTCTATGTATGTGACTTCTACTTCACTATAATGTGCATACACTTCAAAATTTTAGGGTATTTTTTTAAATAAATTTTTTGATTCAGCAAGGATGCATTACATTGTTTAAATGTGACCAGTAAAGGTTTTTACATTGTTACAAAAAGTCTATTTCAAATACATGCTTTTCTATTTATCCAAGAAGTCACAATTTTTACAAAAATATACATATGTGACCCTGGACCACAAAACCAGTCATAAGGGTCAATTTCAGCTGAATAAATAAGCTTTCCATTGATGTATGGTTTGTTAGGATAGGATAATTTGTGGCCGAGATACAACTATTTAAAAATCTGGAATCTGAGGGTGCAAATAAATAAAAATATTGAGAAAAGCGCCTTTAAAGTTGTCCAAATGAAATTCTTAGCAATGCATATTACTAATCAAAAATTAAGTTTTGATATATTTATGGTAAAAAATTTACAAAATATCTTGAAGGAACATGATCTTTACTTAATAGCCTAATGATTTTTGGCATAAAAGAAAAATCGATAATTTTGACCCATACAATGTTTTTTTGGCTATTGCTAAAAATATACCCCAGAGACTTAAGACTGGTTTTGTGGTCCAGGGTCACATATAGTAAAATGATTCCTGAAGTATCATGTGACGCTGAAAACTGGAGTATCTTTGCCATCACAAGAATAACTTGCATTTTAAATTATATTAAAATAGCAAACAGTTATTTTAAATTGCAATAAAATTTCACAATATTATTGTTTAACTATATTATTGTTTAACTAAATAAATGCAGCCTTGGTGAGTATAAGAAACTTCTTTTAAAAACGTAAAAAATAAAACCTTACCGACCCCAAACTTTTGGATGATAGTGTATGTATGTGTGTAAGCATAAGTGTACATGTAAATGTTGTAAAGGCTTACAATTATATGAACAGGAGTATATACTAGTGTACAAACACTTTAAGGTGTGTATTTTCATTTCTGTCAGGTTCATGCGACACTGGAGTTATTGGCATTAGCAATGGTGGCCTTTGAGTTGTGCATGAAGCTCCGATGGCTTGGTTTTCACACCTTTATACGACATAAGAGGACCATAGTAAAGGTGTGTACATTTTTAATAATACACTGCCTCAACAATGGTTGATTTTTTTTTTAATTTTTTATCTCAGCTGAGGAATCCTCTCTGATTTTTGTGCGTTTCAGTCATGTGTCCTGTTTATTCAATTCATCGAGGCAATTGTGGTCTTAGTCCGGCAGACATCTCACCTGCGTGTAACAAGAGCCCTGCGGCCAATCTTTCTGGTGGACTGCCGTTACAGTGGAGCTGTTCGCAGGCATGCTAACTTCGAAATTCATAAAAAGATTTAAAAATAATTTAGTAATTGTTATTAAATAAAAAATGTATAATTATTGCCTATACTACTCGCATTATTTTTCAATTAAAGGTTTTGAGATCTCATACATGCAACAAGCCACTCGAGGCCTTGTGTTACAGTGATTTTACACAAAACTAAGTACTAAAAGTTCATGTAACAATGGGTAAATTATTGTAAAGCATGTCCTTGACTGGATACAATGTGACGTTCTGACGCTGTATCTGTTTCTGTCCTCCCTCAGAAACCTGAGGCAGATATTTCAGTCTCTTCCTCCCTTCATTGATATTCTTCTGCTGCTGCTTTTCTTCATGGTCATCTTTGCCATCCTAGGATTCTGTTTGTTCTCAGCCAACACAGCAGACCCTGTTAGTACTTCGATCACACACTCACCTTTGTTTTCCACACCCTTGTGTTCTCTGTCTTATTGTCTCTCTCTCTCTCACACACACACACACACACACACACACACAAACTCATAGATTCGTTTCTTTCTCTCCACAGTATTTTAGCACACTGGAGAACAGCATTGTTAGTCTGTTTGTCCTTCTGACCACTGCAAAGTATGTATGTACTCTCGCTGTGGTGCACACATCCTACTTAACATTGCATGACTCTGAGCCACAGCGTTTCATGTCTTCCTGTAACAGCAGTAGTAATCCAAATGTTATCAGTTCAAACTCCTTGAGGGGGAACTGGAGAATTTCTCTGATCCTCTATTATCATTATGTCCTCCTGCAAAGAACTTAACTCCAGGTCACTATAGTCAGACTGTCCCTGATAAAAATGTAATAAAAGTCATTTTGAATAAAAAAGTGTCTACTAAATGATTAATAATGAGGTAAGTCTTTAGTAGATTCACACATCTTTCTTCTTCACTAGTTTTCCAGATGTGATGATGCCAGCGTATTCAAAGAATCGTTGGTCATGCATTTTCTTCATTGTGTATCTGTCCATCGAGCTCTACTTCATCATGAATCTGGTCAGTATTAAACAACAATGAATCTGTTTTCATTTTAAAGCTGACATACCATGAAAATCTGACTTTTCCAGGTTTTAAGTGCTTATAATCAGGTCCCTGGTGCATCTACCAACCAAGGAAACGTGAAAAAGATTAACCCAGTAACTTTGTTTTGGTAAGCCTTTTTCTGCAAGCGTCTGATTTCGCTCCCTTGGTGACGTGGCAAAGGAATCTCATTATAATATTACCGCCCCTTAATCTGTAAGTTTCCACGGTGCCGTCATTTTGATTTTGCAAGCGACAACGGTGTACCAGTTCTAATGCCGTGGCGAAAGTTCGAGCAAAGCATGCTAACTGTTCTGTCTTTGGTTGCACAGACGAGCACAGAACACTGTTTAGAGTCCCAGCCTCAGAGGAGACAACAGAGCAGTGGATTTATTGATTTATTTAATGTATATTGCTGCTGCACTTAGTTTAGTACTCACATGCTGTGACAGCCGCTTTCTGTCCGTGTGCACTCAGAAAACCGTATACAAGATGTTTAAACTCATGGTTTTAAACGCATGATTTCAGCGCGATGAACATTATAATCAGAACCAAAACAGATGTAAAATAGGCATTTTCAAAATGATATTATAAATGATCTGTGGAGTATTTTGAGCTGAAACTTCACAGACACATTCTGGGGACACCAGAGACTTATATTACATATTGTAAAAAGGGGCATAATATGTCTCCTTTAAAGGATTTATAGTGTATTATAGTTTAATTTTGTAAGCATTATCTGTTGGTGCAGTGTGAACTACTTTGAGTTTGCTCTTAATTTTGCTCTTAGCTCCTGGCAGTAGTTTTTGACACCTTTAATGGAGTCGAGAAGATGAAATTCAAGTCTCTTCTTCTACACAAGCGATCCGCCATAGAGCACGCCTTCCAGCTGCTGGTTAGTCGGCAGGTGAGGTTTACAGATCACACTCTTTCAGGACTGAACCCCGAAAGCCTTGTGTATTTTATGGATGAATGTGAGTGTGATAAATCTACATTTATTTAGAGGCCAGATGGAGTGTGTTTAAAACAGTTTGATGGACTGATGCGATTCTATCGTCCACGAATGACAGCACGGGATCATTTCCTCACTTTCAAAGCCCTCAACCATTCAGGAGCAACCATGCTGAGGTACACGCATGCACTCATATGTGCTCACGTTCTTTTGATTATTTTAGCAGATGATGAGTTCTTCAGATGTATTTGTGGTTGTGTTTTAGTCTCCAGGACTTTTATAAGTTTTATGAAGTGATCGGGCTCAAATGGAAGGTCAGATTTCACACACTGTCACATGATTACACTCGCTGGGTGTTTGTTAAACCCTCTTAAGCAAGAACATCTGGTGTGTACGTGTGTTGCAGGCTCGATGGAGTGGGGAGCACTGGTTTGATGATCTTCCTCGTACTGCATTCCTCATCTTCAAAGGTCTTTATATTTGTCATGTTGATTCGATTTGCATTAGTTACAGAATTTTACAGTTTAATGATCTGCTCACAATGACCAGATACATTCAAGATTAGTTGGGATCAGATATTTTCTTCCATAATAAGTATGATCATTCTTCTTTTTTAACAGGAATCAATGTACTTGTGAAATCCAAAGCTTTCCAATATGCAATGTGTAAGTTAAAATCTTTAAGTAACTCTTCTTGTATTAACCCTTTAGACATTAACATGCAATACCTGATCAATAAAATATGCTCATTGGAACCCATTAGCTTGTAGGTTAATAGAAAAACTGTCTGATATTCTTTCAGTACTCTTATTATAGTTATTACTTACTGTAAAATAGAGTAATATTGTGAAAACATTAACTGTTAACATGATTACAAATAACTGTTTTCTGTTTAATGCATTTTAAAATGTAATTTATTTTCAGCAACCATTACTCCAGTCTTCAGAACTCATTCTAATATGCTAATTTGGTGCTCAAAAAACATTTCTTATTAGTATCAATGTCTGAAAACAGTTGTGCTGCTGAATTTTTGCAATACATGATATACTTTTCTGATACGTGATAAGTTCAAATAAACAGCATTTACTTTAAAAACTATTTAGTTTTTACTTTCACTTTTGATCAAATTAATGCTGAAAATTGTTTTATTAATTTCTTTCAAAAATCTAACTGACTCAAAACTTTTAAACTCAAGTGTACTGCACTTACAGTATATTAATTCCATTATTTCTAATCATTCGAACTATTTTTCATGATTGACCTGTTACAGGTCTGGTAGTAGCAATTAATGGCATCTGGATCCTAGTGGAGACAAACATGTTAAATGGTAAGATCTTCTTGAGTAATGGAACAGTAGAGCATGTGCTGCAGCTGTGTTGCAGTTCCAGATAATTCTTTGAATTTCACCATTCAGAAACACTTGTAATCATAGGAAACAGTGAAATAGCTGTTTTCCCTGTGTGAACCCAATTGAATTTGGCTCTTAAGCAGCTCTTCTCTTCTCACAGATGGCATCTCATGGACTCATGCTGTCCCATGGAGTTACATTATTTTCCTCACAAGTAGGTGGAAATTGTTTAGAATTAAATCACGAGTAAATCTGAATGTAGATGTTTCAATTAATATGGGTTTCATTTAAATGTTAAAAAAAAATTTTTATTCACCTCCTGCTGATGTGTCTGTGGAATCAAGTTTATGGAATTGAGGTCTTGTTGAAGATCACAGGCCTTGGTCCTTTGACATATTTCAGCTCAGGGTGGAACCTGTAGGTACACACACATACATTCATACAAATACACACACATACACACTGCATCACCTCTGGGTGTGTGTTTCTATTTCCAGCTTTGATTTCTCAGTAACAGTCTTTACCTTTCTGGGATTAATTGCTCTGGCCTTTGACATGGAGCCGTTCTACTTCATCGTGGTGTTGAGACCTCTTCAGCTCCTCCGGTATGTGTACTTATTCGTGTGTGTGTTTTGATGAATTTTTGTTTGCATATAGTTGTAGTCATTCATTTACAACCTTTTTCTTTTTTCTAAATGCTTATTGTTCTCCCATAAGTGTGTGTATCACTTGAATTGTTATGCTGGTAATATAATTTGTATATTACATTTAAAAACAATCAATTTAGAAAAACACTAAATAGAAGCATTTTTGACCAGAGGGCTCAGACGGTTTTACCCCACTGTAGATAAAGTCTGCAGTGTAATAATTTTTTAAGCTGTATGTCTTTTGTTCTTAATATTAACTTTGTGTGAATCATTAGATATCTTCTTTCAGCAGTCATAGCTATAGATAGATACAGATATGTTCCTTTTTAACAGTCTCATAATTTTTTCCCCCTATTTCTTGTCAAGGTTGTTTAAAATTAAACAGCGCTATCGGAACGTTTTGGACACAATGTTTGAACTCTTCCCGCGTATGGCCAGGTACAGAAATAATAATCCATTTCAGCTCATTACTCACAGATGAAGGCTCTTCTCACACAACCCTCTCTCTGTCTCTGTAGTCTAGGTCTGACTCTGATCATCTTCTATTATTCTTTTGCCATTGTTGGAATGGAGTTTTTTGCTGATGTTGTTTATCCAAACTGCTGCAAGTAAGTTCCTTTCTTTGCAAAACAAAAGAAGCAATTTTGAAGAATCTTTATGAAACTTAGTGATCAGTAGATATCATGCCTGAAAAAAAGGACAAAATAGCTATAAATAATTCTCAGTGAATAATGTATTTTGGTGTGTGTCTCTCTCAAAGCACGAGCACTGTTGCTGCCTCGTATCGCCAGATAAATGTGACCACTGGCAACCGGACCATTCTAGAGGAGGGATATTACTATCTTAATAACTTCAATAACATCCTAAGCAGTTGGTATGTGCACACACACACACACACACACACACACACACACACTCTTCCCATGTCAGTATGTAACTTTTTTTCTCTGCCATCTTTCAGTCACTCTTTTTGAGCTAACAGTGGTGAACAACTGGTACATCACTATGGTGAGTGTAAATACAAAAACACATGCACATCAGCTCAGTCAACAAGTCATAATATCAGAAGTTTCCTCAGTAAAATGTTTGTATTTTTTTGGTTAGTGTGAGGCTGTGGTGTCCCCTGCTGTTTACTGGAATTAAATGTCAGTCAGCAGACTGTTGTGTCTCTGAAGTAATGCTGGAGTCTCTAAATGTTTGTTTGTAGCAGAATCCTATGGATCCTACTGTGTGAACCAGTCAGTACATAACCATCTGTCTGTAATTTTCCGAGTTATTGATGCCTTTGATTGCTGTTTTCGCAGGAAGGTGTGACGTCACAAACTACTCACTGGAGTCGCCTTTATTTCATGACCTTTTACATTGTCACCATGGTAAGGGATTGTATATGTCGGTTGTGTATGTGCGTGTTAAATAAATCTAAATCATTTAGAACATTTTTGTCATTTGAACAAAAATGAAAAGACTGAAAAAAACTAAAGGAAAAATAAACCTAAATAGCAATCTTAAAAAAAGCACACAAGTCAATTATTAAAAGTTAAAGCTAAAATTAAAATGAAAACAAAATAATAAAAGCTAATTCAAAAAATATTAATAGAAGCTGTAATTGCATATTAATAATACAAAAAAACACTGAAGGGACAATGTGGATATTATTTGTTTTTGATGTGAAAGTTATGATTTATATAGGTATAAGGTACAGTGTAACCAGTCAACATTTCTTTTTTTATAAATGTTTGTTTTGCTTAAATAATTTAATGTTGAAACTATTGAATGTCCCACTGCTGTTGTCAGCTACCCATTTATATGTGTGTTATAAATCTAATATAGTGATCTTGATATTTTCTCACAGCCCGGTGTTATTTTGAGTGTACATGCCTCTGTGTGATGCAGGTTGTGATGACAATAATCGTGGCCTTCATACTAGATGCATTTGTCTTCAGAAAGAACTACAGTCGGAGGAACAGAGAGCCGCTGGATGACCCAGAAGGTTCTAAATGTTTAGAGTCCCGTTCATCTGATGACATGTTTAATAAAATGGGTATGACTGAGATATCTAAGACTAGAATGTGTGTGTTATAGATGAAAAGGGGATTGTCTTTGAGACAGAGGTGTCTCAGACTGAAGCTCTGCAGACTCTGGACATGTATAAATACACACTGGGCGTCACCAACCTAAGCTCACTGCAGGACATGTGTGTGGCTCTGGAGCGGAGCGGGGTAAGCACATGCATACATGCACAGTTTGTGTTCATAGCATCTAATTTGTGTTTCTCTGTTAGATTGATTGAACTGTAATGGATCATTTTTGTCTTTGCTCACAGCATTCCTCATTAGTATTTCTGGGTCGAAGGTCACGTACCAAGAGTGACCTCAGCATGAAGATGTACGAGGAGGAGATTCAGGTAGGATAGAAACGGTTATTATAGGATTGTTAACTAAAATTGAAACTAAAATAAAATTATTAAAAACTTTTTCGTTACTAAAAATGGATTTCTAATTTGAATGTACTAGAAAAACTGATATATGTATATATATATATATATATATATATATATATATATATATATACGCCACATGTCTGAATTAACATGAATGTAACATTGTTTTCATGAAAAGTGATTCATTTGAACCTTTATTTGCAGAATTTAAAGTAAAGCATTCACAAATGGCTCCCTTATTGGATCAGAAAATTAAATCATGAAAGTCTGAAATGGTAATATATAAGGAAAATGTGTAACGGACGCCTCGCAGATACAAACGGGGTAAATAATGTTTTGTGTTTTGATTAAAAGATAGTTAACATTAAACGTCAGTGAAACCCTGAATTCACAACATTTTTTACAATAATGCTCTCATTATAACGTTGTGTATATGACAGTAGTTATTAATGTTCTGCATTTCTGTTTTGAGCTGTGCGCTCTGAAGATGACCAGTAGAATGAAGCATTCGATAGCAGGTTTTTAATCAATGGGATTTAACTTGAGTGCATAGAAATGAACATACTTTTCAGAAGCCTGACATTTCTGTTTAAAATATCCTTTTTTTATTATTCTTGATCTTATGTAATATTCTAATTTTCTGAGACACTGAATTTTGGGTTTTCATTATCTGTAAGCCATAATCATCAAAATTTCAAGAAATAAAGGCTTGAAATATTTCACTCTGTGTAATGAATCTATATAATATATGGGTTTCACTTTCTGAAATGAGTAACAAAAAATATTGACCTTTTTCATGATACTCAAATTTTTTGAGATGTACCTGTATACAACATAACGTAAATATTACGACTTATAGGCTATCTGCACAAAATGCCCCGAATGTACCTGCAGCGCAACTCAACCAAATGCATCTTATATGAGATAAATAATATATACACAATATATTTAAACCGGCTGAAATGTTTTGAAATCACTTACCCTACCTGATCGAAAAAAAAACAGTCTTTCACTCTGCCTGTGCCAATTTGAGTCTTGTTAAAGTTTTAAACCCCTGCCGCCAAGATGCTCTTCTGTCGGTCAGGGATTATAGAAAGTGAAACTTAAATCTATAGGGGTGGTTGGATATATTGACGCACGTTAAAATATTTATTTGAAGCTTCTTTCTTTTCAGATTCTTATTAACAGCATTATTTTAATAGGCTGTATTTTAACTTATTGGGAGAAAACCAGTAGTTCTATGTGAAATCAGATATTTGGGCACCCCCCTATAGCCAAAATGGCATGATCATAACACCCCGCGAATATTCGACTGTGAGATTGGTAGTCGAATCAGGCTCCTCCTATCGAAGCATCGAATCTTCACTATTGGGGGTCACCCCTAGTAATATATCACACAGTTGTTTATACAAGGATGTGCCCAAGTGGAAACTTGGAAAGTTTAGCTAAAGAAAAATAAATGCCACCTAAAGTTATTTCAATGATATCATGTTCTGTTTTGGAAAGTTATAGTGTGACATATTTGGCTCCAAATTCTCCCTTTTTAATACAAGAATTTCCAGATAGGCAATGGTATGTTTGTGTAGAGATTATTTCTTATTGTCTGCAGGAATGGTACCAGGAATATTCCAGAACAAACCTCCAGCCAGATGAGACATTCCACAGAGAACTGGACAGCCCTGAAGCCAGTGCCACGAACAGCATTAATTAACTCGCACAGTCCGAATACTGCATCAGTGTTAACTAACACACTCACTCGTACCTCTGAGGGACCTTAGAACCGTCTTCCTCCCATCGATGGAAAGCACAAGTGTTCCCCATGACCACTACATTCTCCCTCCATCCACATGGAGACCCACAGAACTCAAAGAACTTAAAGCCTTATTCCCCAAAAAACCTTAAGGTTCCGTGGCCAATCAGGGAAGCTTGCAGACCAATCATGTGACATGCACTAGGTCCGGGAACCTTCTTCTTCCATAAAATGCACCTCATGACATTTGCCTTGTGGTGGGTGACCCTGAATGATTCAGACTCTCTCATGGATTTGACAAACGGAGAACGGCGATTGAATGTTTCTGTGGGAGATGAATCAGAACTGAATGTGAGGATTTTAGCACTAAGGGACTTGTGCCTCTTTCTCCACAGTCCGAGGTATTGCTTAACCAACAGATAAAAGATTATAGTAATAAACTAATGCTGTTTTTAAACTAAAGCTGATTTTTGCTGGAACCTTTGGACCTGTAGAGAGGCTTATTTTTTCATTATATGTAAATATATATACATGCAGATTAAATGTGTCAAATGCAGCTGAGAGGCAAGTATTTAAAAATCTGTTTTAATACATCCACCGATTTACTCAATATAGGCCGGTTTCCCAGGCACATGTTCATTTTGGACTGATAAGTATTAGAAAACCAGCCCTGGACCTTTCAGTTCATTTAAACTTTTGTCTTGGCACATATGAAAAGTTCTTATTTTCTTTTGTTTGGAGTCAGTATTGTAAAGCTTAGAGTATTTTGACAAACCGGTTCGGATTAAATCTAGTCAGAATCTCAAATTTTATTCCACCGACAGTCTGATCCGTTCAGCTTGCGAGGGTAAACGCAGATCTGTCTCCAAACCGAAAATTTCCTTTGTGTAAAACCATAGGTGAAAAAGTGATACCAATTAGCCTTGCTTATGGCTTTATGCACTGTACGTTAAAACTGTTATTTATCTATTTACATTGAGTTAAACATCTCTCCTGTTTGCTGCACCATTTTATAATTTATTAGTCATTTTCTTGATGCTTTTTTAACAGGGTGAATGCATGCAAATCCTCATAAATTGTTTACTCTCACGTCTATAAAGTATCTAACCTGGAGGTAATCGGGGATGTCAGTGATTTCATTCCAGTTGCTTGTTTAATCGCACTGTAGGATGTGCAACCTCGATGCTCCAAACACAAGGGAACATGATGCATATGTGACATGAAACCGCACCAGCTCCTCTAATACTGTAGGGTTTACCTGTGTCTCAGTTCTCTGTTCTTATTCCTTTCTAATTAAACTTTTTTTGGATTTTGTTTATTAATAGTTGTAATAACTGTCTTTTTATATGTATTATGTTAGCTTGTCTTTGTGTTACTGTCACCCCACTGTCAAGATTAATTTAATATAGCCAGTAATATCTTTTTTTTTATTTTTTATTTTTTTTATGGGATGCAAGTGCTTTACTCTAATGAAATCGTACCGGTCTGATTTTTGCTAAGTTGGACAAAAGGTGCGGTCAAGTTCTTGGGAATTTCGCCAAATGTTTCTCCACGAGTGTTGCCAAGTCCACGGTTTTCCAACGGAATTCGGCTACTTTTATATTGTTGCCGTGGATTGTTCTTTTAGTTTAGGAACCCACTGGAAGGAGGTTTTGAATCCCCAGAAACCGACTGGGTTAGTTTTTGGCCGTAATTGGCTTATTTTTGTATACTAATTGGGCTGGTTTGTTTAGCAGACATGGCAACCCTGTTCTCCACGCAGATTTCGCAACGGTTTCGAGTTTGTCACACGAATTCTTCAAATATTCGATTACAAATAGTGTCATGTATATATTGACAGGCATATGAAGAATGTAGCTCGACTACACAAAAAGTCACGCTTGTAAAAGTACTTGAGTCATTCTCTCTCTACCTCTGACTCCATCTTCCCTATATTGTGATCGTCTCACTGTAGGCTAGATACTAAGGCAATTGTGACAAAAATGATTTGCGTCATTTAATTTACTATTTGACATTGACAGATCTGAGAGTTGCAGTCTTCCGCACTGTTAGACCTGCTTTTGTTTTTCTAATTTCTCGCAGGCATTTTGTGTGGCCGACGAACTGATTTGTGGGTGTTTGTTTGTTACAGGACAGCAGGAGGCACTACAGAGTCAGATCGTAGAGCAGGGAACATGAGGGTCCTGTCCCTGTCTGTGTAATGCAGGTAAGGATCTCATGTTTAATTTTTTTATGCTTGTCATTCTCTGTTGTTCCAGTGATAGTAACGTGATATGTGTTTTCTGGAGGTTGTAATATGTTCAGCCTGTAAATCAGTTGAGGGTATCAGCTATGGGAAGTGACTTCCGCTGTAGTTATTATTCTAAATAACCAAAACATAATTACTTACCTCTTACATACCCCATAGAGTGATTTAATATGAATGTAGGCCTATTAGCTAAAATTCAATTTGATGTTGGTATATGTTCTTTCCTTTAGTTTGATTTATCCAGTGCTTTCATCAGGGAGTGTCTGATTTATTAATTTATTTAAGAAAATGTATATATTATATTTTAATATTTAATATTTTAATAATATTTTAATTTAAAAGTTTATTTTTGAAAATATAGCTTTTGTTGAATATAGTGTATACAACCATCATGAAAATTACATACATGAAAATACAGCAGATGAATCTAAGACATGGCAAAGAATTAAAAGGTAAGCAAATTAATTGAAAAACCTGGTCCGGTTTAAACTGTTACTTTTTAAAGAAAATATTTAACTTACTTATATAGTTACAATAACTTGTAATGTGTTAAATGCTTCTTTACATTTTTTAAATCAGTGATATGCCACAAAAATATTTAAATATTCTTTATTTTATAGTATTTAAAACCATAGATGAAATGCAGAGAAGCCTCTAGTCTGTAGCCTGACCGATGAACTGCCTACCTGAGGTAAGAAAAAAATAAACCCTGAGAAAGGCTAATCAGAAATGATCTTTCAGCTTTGTGTATGTTTATTTGATGTGGTTATGTCAGATCAAATCAACTCGTATATTTGTCAAATTACCGTACACAAGTTTAATAAGTGAAGATCATGGGTGCTTGCTCCACAACAATTTGCTTTATGTTTTTAGTTTTTTGCCTACAACACAAACACATGCCACCAAACACATTCTCACACACTGAAGTCTGTTATTAGTGTGCTTGGGCTGAGCTCTGAGCCTGGGATGGTGGTTTGTGACTCATTCTCTCTGTACATTGAAGCTGGCTCCTAATTTATCCCTTCAGACCCAAACCAGCATCCTGTCCCCTCTGTGACCCTTCCTCTTCCTCTTCCTCCCTTCTCTCTTCCTTTCTCTCGTGTTCTTCTGTCAGTCACTGGGGAGAGACGCTGATGCTATTTGACAGGGAACAGAATGTGTTCAGGACTTTATGTCTGTCTGTCCTCTTTTTTTAGTAGACACATTGGACAAGCTACTTTTATGAGCTGGTTGTGCTGAATCATGATGTTGTGCCATGGCAGAATTTACTAGAGGGCTTTTACAGGTCTCATATAGTGCTGTATGACTGAACAAAACAGAGCAGTCATATATTAGTTCTAAATGGTCTCACACACACAGACATTTCATTGTCCATCAGGGAGAAGAAACGCAGCTTGGGATTTTGAGTGTTTTGTTCCGGATGTAAATATCCTGTATATTCTCAGCCCCTCTCTCACATTTCTTGCGGTCTCTGTTATCTGTATTTATTTTGGAGATTTCCAAACATTTTTGGAACATTATTTCTATCATTTATTTAGATATTATTTTTAGCACTGAGACTGCAGTCATTTGATTATTTTTAGGCTGATTTTTTGTTATGTCAAAGTGTACACATATTCAAAGGATTTCTGATCAATTTAGAAATAGGTACTTTGAATGTCAAAATATGAGTAGAGTCCTAATTTTTGTGTAGCCTGTGCCAAAAAAAGCTATTTATGTGTACTGTTCTATTTTTTTTATTTTTTATTTTAAAACTTGTACTTTAAGTGTTTTATTTTCTCACTTAAAGCTTTCACAGCCAGATTAAAACCCATTGCTCATTCCTTTGAGCCAGGATGCTGTCACATTCAATAAGCTTCATTGGCTCATCAAATTGAGCTGACGTTTCCAAGTTATGCTGCGTATGTAATGTCCATTTTATGAGTATTTAGCGCAGAGATTTTCATGGCCTGAGAAACTGCTCTTTCTCAGCCCAATACAATGTGTACATGTGTCTTTTTGCAGTCCTCAGATTTAGTGTTTTTATAGTGAAAATCTATAATTCTCTAGAGGAGTCTTGAAGTTACAGTCACAAGTAACCCGCAATGTACACAGTTCTTATAGAAAACTGTATATTTTCTGAAACACCATTAACTGTAACTTGGAATAGTATGATCTTATAATATTTACAATTACTTTAATCCCTGAGAAAATTTTTCCAGTGTAAAAAGTCTTCACTGTCAGTGGTGTTATTGCAAACAAAAGAGAAATTACATGAGGGTGAGTAAATGATGATAAATTATAATTTTTCCCCTTCCTTTTTCTTAAACCGTAAACATGGTAAGTGGTGTTACTGGTTCTCACTAATTTTATTTAAGAGTGATATCACTGAGAAAACGGCATGGCAGCTAATGATAAATTATTTTTTTGACTTGATAATTATTTAGTGTGATCTTTAATGAAATGAGAAATAAGATAACAGCATGGTTATGGAATGATACATAATTTAATGTGGAATTGATGAGATTTGGTTTTTGATATATATTTTGATATCACTGAGAAAACGGCATGGCAGCTAATGATAAATAATTTTTTTGACTTGATAATTATTTAGTGTGATCTTTAATGAAATGAGAAATAAGATAACAGCATGGTTATGGAATGATACATAATTAATGTAGCATGGTAAGTTTAATGTGGAATTGATGAGATTTGGTTTTTGATATATATATTTTTTTTTAGATGGATAAGCCACCACATTTTGGGAATGACCCAAAGACAAATGAACCAGAGCTCCAGAACTGTCCAGAGTGAACAAGACAACATCAACACAACAAGACTCACAGTGTGAGGTCAGTGCTACAGTATGTGCAGTCCAGTAAGCTTATATCATAAGCCTTGAAAATGAAATCAAGTTTTACAAGTGTCAGTTTTTCAAATAAACACAAAAATGAGACCTTGAAAGCAGGGGCACAAAACCCAAAAAGCCTTGTGGTAGCAAGAACTGAGCTTATTCTGTCCAGAATTAGACTAAAACCTGAGACCAGAATAATGTGAACCTACAGTAATCAGACAAGACCACACTGAAACACAAATTAAACATATTAATAAAACTGATCAAAGTAAATTCAGATTCTTAAAAGACAGGACGTTGTGATGTACTTGTCCACTGTTATCAACAAAAAGCTGAGAGCCACCTTACAAATGAACAGACTCAGCGAGGACAACCTAGCGATATAAATGAGCTTGGCCAAAAGAAACCGATAAAAGCTTGTACAAACAAAACAAATTAAGGCAGCAATGCATTTTCTCTCAGAATGAATACATTAGGCTTCTGAAGAAACGGACAAATTGCCAAACAGAAAGAAATGCAGCAAAGTAATTATAATGACTTTGTATTGTGAGTCGCGCATGTAATCCGTTCACCTGAAATCTGTCCTTCAGATCAGAGTGAAGTTCTTCTCAGACAAGTTCTTGTAGTCCATCAAAATCTCTGTATAACATTGCCATTTGTGAACAACGGTCACATTTAAAAAAACAAAAACATTTCTTGCATGTTTCTCAGTTAGTACAAAGTAATTTACAGCTGTTGTTCTGAAGTAACCATTGCTAACATATGTGGCTAACTGCATGTGACCTTAATCTAAACCAAATCAAAGACATGGAATTATTATTGACTTCAAACATGTCATTGTTTTAGGGATTTATTTATTTATTTTTGTCTTTTTTTCTTCCTCCCTCCCTCAGTGTTCAATGTTCATTTAGAATATATCATGTCTTAGATTAATGTATGACTGAATAATGAAGATTTGTTAGCTCTCTCTCTCTCTCTCCCTTGATGGATGGCAGAAGGAAGTGTTTGAGAAGAGGGACATGTTTCAGTGACGGAGGATGGATATGGATTTGAGTAAGTGCACGCTGGATGTCACACACACTGTCACAATAAAAAACAACAACATTAATACACCAGAAAACAAGCAATGACACACATTTTGAACTTGCTTTAATATTTATCCTCTTGGTAATCAATATCTGGCCATGGTTGAGTGAAGTCATAAAATTAAACTAAGCTACTATGTGCACAGTAATGAATGCTAGGGGAGTTTAAATGGTCACTGAACATGTTTATACAGCTTTAAAGTTACATTCAGTTTTCTCTGTAAAAACAGCTGCTGTTCAGTTTCATGAGTTATACATTTGCTGTTAAAAGTTGTAATTTTAAGTAGCCACAGCTGTACATCGTGCCCCCTTCAGCCTCCAATCATGTTAAGTTATCCATACCAAACGAATCAACTCAGCTGGAGTTTACTGGCAGCAGCAGCATTCCAGAGTCCTTTTCCAATCAATCGCCTCCTAGTACTAGTATTTCTTCAAAACAGAGGCTGAATTTGAGCCCGCAGGTTCAGGAGACACAATAATAGCTCTAAACACGCAACCCCACCAAAAAGCCTTTGTTGCAACATTGTTTTCTGTTGATCAAAGATTTATTAAAGAAATTGTTTACAGGCATTGGTTTTGACAGCCACTAAGAAACTCAAAAGCAGTAGGAGAAACAGTATGTTCTGTCCCTTCAGTTGTTTGGATGGAAAAAGTACGTACCGATTTGTAAACACACGCACGCTTCTGGTTAATGTCATCCGTAATTGGCCAAATTTCGGTTATCTTAGCCCCGCTCATTTGAGACATCATTATCTGCCTTGTTATGAAATTGTAAGAACACATCTGCCCGTGACCTCTGAGGGGTCACTCGCTGGGTCGTCGTCACGGTAACTACAGAGCGGAGTGAATGGGCAGCCTCTGACGTCTCTCAATTTCCTGTGTTTTAAGAAGCTTATCTGGTTTCACACTCTGGATAAAATGTTTGATAGAGGACACGATTCATACAGAGGCAGAACCCAAAAGTCTTGTGAGACCAGTGACCAACACTCATTTAGAAGGAATGCAGGAAATTTACATTAGAAAAAAAAAAGATAGATGCACAAACATCTGCATAGTTCACTGAGAAAGATGATGAAATGTTACTGCAGCACATATAAATACTACACAAAAAACACTACTGTAGTACATCTGTCTTTAATTTTTCAGGTCATTAGGTATGTGTGTGTAATGCTGGATCCTTCCTCCTGGATATGGAGTCTCTCTCTCTCTCACACTTTGGTGTTCACACAGAGTTGCTAGTCAGATGCATTTAAAATGAACACTTTCACCTCTCTCTCGCTCTCTCTCGCTCTCTCTCTCTCTCTCTCACACACACACAACATCCATCTCCACCCTCCTTTTCCCAGTGGACAAATGTGGACGTAAAAATATTTGAGCAAATCCTACATCTGGTTGGCTGTTTACTCCCTCATATACTTACACACGCAGAGAATTGTCTCCACTTCCAAAATGGAAAAGTCTGCTGGGGGCTAAGCAAGCTTTCTTTGGCTCGGTTTTCAGCGTGAAACGCGTGCCAGGGGTTTAGCAACACCTCGGAGAGACTGAAGACTTTTTGCACCGGAAACTGAAAGGTATGCTGAGCTACGAAGTGTTGTGGTCATTTTTTTTCTTGAGTTTTGAACATAATCATGATGGGATTTTTTTAAGTTAACTTAACTTCTTAAGATCCCCGTGTAAAATTAGAAGCATCGCTGTAAAATGTTTAAGGAGATGCTTTACCTAAGTGTTCAAACTATTATTATAATCATCATCTTTTTAATAATTCCAGTAATAATGTCTAAAAACTATCAGAAAGAAAACCGTATGATGTCAGTGCAGTCTAAAGCATTGTTCTTGTTACATTGTCTTGCACGTTATTCCTTTTCTTTTCTGCAATGTGTTAGAAATTAGAAAGCCAGATTGCATCTCATTTTACTTGCATATGCACTTCTGGAAAGTTAGCTGACATTAGATAGAATGTGAATTTAAATGTCTTTTTTTTTTCAAGAGAGCAGAATAACTCTGGTTAGTTTTGGACTTTGCTGTTTCATTTGACATGTAATATGAACCAAATATGAAGGAAATAGTTTAGATAGTTTCAGCGGTTATATGCATCTGAAAAATACTTACTTTCTCCTTTATTCTATTAGATAACTACAAGCTTTTACAATGACTTAAACAGAAACAGTGTGTTAGCTTGACAGGCGTAGCATTCTGATTAAGAATGTGCAACATTTGAAATATGACTGGGATTATTTTCAACAGCTGTGAACATTATTTAGGGCTCAGAGTTAATCTTAATAAATGACAGTTAGACTTGAATGATGAGAAGCTTTTTCGTATTGTATAACACAGGCAGATTAAGCAGATTCGTAACATATTCAACATTTCTTACTATTAACTAACATTTAACTATGATTTTTTTCCCTCAATTAGCTCCTAATTTGCTACTTATTAATAGTTAGTAAGGTAGTTGTTAATTGGGTGTGGGGTAGGATTAAGAGATTTAAAATATGGTCATGCAGAACAATGCATTAATATGTGCTTTTTAAGTACTAATAAACAGCCAATATGCTAGTAATATGCATATGCTAGTTAATAGTGAGAATTGGTCCCTGAACTTTAGCCTGCGTGTTACCTAAAACTCAATGTTAGCCAGATATTTTATATTTACATTTTAGAATTAATAACTACCATTAACTTTAACTAAAAACTTCAAACTGCCAAATATGTCGTCAGTTGCTTGAGGATTTGACTTTATGTTACGTAGTCTGATCGTGATATTTGTTTCAGAACCTGTGTGTTTGTGTTGTCCAATTATGCATACATTACCTGGAAAAATATGAAAAGAATGCCTGGCCTGCTACTTTGTGTTATATACAGTATACTATTGGAGAGCAGGACTGAATCCCCCAAACACCACAACCGATTTCCCGGCCAATCCGATATGTTCATGTGCCCCACGCCTATGTTAACAGTAACCAGATGTATTGTGCACAGCCTGCAGAGAGCTATAAAACACATCTGTGCTGGACCCGAACTCACCAGAGCTATGGTTACACGCGCACACACACTCGCTTTCTCACATTTCTCTCTCACAGATTTCTCTTTCTCACACTGACAAGATGTAGAGGAGAGGATGCTGCAACATCAGTCCCAGTGGACTGTCCACGGTCAACATGCTGTGGGAGTTTGTTCTCTGTTTTATGCCTCGTAATAGACAATAAGGCTGTCCACAACCGTGGGACGGGTTCCTTTAATAGGATTCAGTGTCCGTGGAGGGTTTGAACATTTTATGGATAGTCACGCAGAGCTTTTCAGCTCACTCGAGATATTTTCCTAATTTTTTAGTCATTTTTTATTTATTATAGCAACCTGTTAAATTCAGCCTGTGATTTATAGCCGTTTTATTTAATTTTTTTCTTAGCTTAACTTTCAGGAGTTTCACAATCTTGTATTTTCCTACTTGAGGGGATCAAGAAGTTTTAGTGAAGGTTTAAGAAAAATGGAGCATGATAGATGATTTTGCATTTTATCCCAATGCTACAATAACATGTTTCTTCATTCCTGCTTCACATGAGAATTTGCCCTTTTTTTCTCATTTCAGAACTTCAGAACTCCCGTTCCTGAATCATCCTGCATAATCAACGCCATGGAAACAGAATCTACCTATAACCTGACTGCACCCACTGTGTCTTTGTTGCACCATAACATGACAAACTCATGTGACTACATATCCACCTCAGCCTCGCAGTACCAGAAGAAAGTGATCCCCACTTTGTACAGCCTCATTTTCCTGCTAGGTTTTCTTGGTAACATGCTGGTGGTGTGCGTGTTGTATCACAGTTCAGGCCGAAGGACGGTAGCCAACACGTATCTGATGAATCTAGCCATGTCGGACTTGCTGTTCCTGAGCTCTTTGCCATTCTGGGCTGTTTACTATTCGCTGGATTACAACTGGGTTTTTGGGAAGGTCATGTGTAAGCTGTGTGGAGGTCTGGTAACGATAAACGTCTACGCTAGTATATTTTTCATCACCTGTATGAGTGTGGATCGATATCATGCCATCGTCTACCCACTGCACTCTCAGAGCAGCAGGAGCATAAATCAGGCCAGATGTGTCAGTGGCATCATTTGGGTCGTGGCGGCTTTGACGACATTGCCGACAGTTGTGTTCCGTGACATACACACTTTTCCCAGTAACAACGTTACGGCTTGTGTCATTTATTTCCCCAACTCCAACTGGCAGACCGTGTTGACTCTTGGAAAGAACACCCTGGGATTCTTCTTGCCATTTGTCGTCATTGCAACCTGCTACAGCCGAATCGCCGTGCACCTTCTGGCAACCCCAAACTACTTGGAGCAAGGCTCCACCCGACTGGTCCATGTGTTGCGTATGGTGGTCGCTGTGGTATTGGCGTTTTTCTTTTGCTGGTTCCCATTCCACGTTCTGGCGTTCCTCGGAGCTCTGGGGGAGCTGGGTGTGGATTGGGATTGCTGGGTGCTTCAAGTGATCCATAAACTCCTGCCGTTCTTCCTCTGCCTTGGCTTTTCCAACTCTGCCATAAACCCTTTCCTGTACTGTTTTGTGGGAAATCACTTCCGAGAGAAGCTGTGGCAGTTTTACGGGGATATGCTGACGCAGAAAAGAGATTCCATCAGCACGAGACTGTCTTCCTTCTCCAGGAAACTGAGTGACCTCAAAGAAACCGTGCCTATGGAGATTCTTGAGCAGCAGAGCAGCGCGTAGTGGAATCTGGTGAACCTACAACCTTATAACTGCAGAGGACCGTGTCGGTGTCGGTCAAGTGCTTTTCCATGGACTGCTTGGGATTGTTTGGGATGATCAGTTCAAATGTTGTTGTTGGTTGCTATAATTGTGTTTGTGTCGCTGTGTCTTGTTTCTAATTACGCAGTGGTTTTGATTAGCTCCAGCATCTATAAACAACATTTGGTTACATATCAATGTGTAGAAATATAGCCCACATATTATTCTTTGATCAGACTTTACCCAGGATGAGGAATTTTCTGCACAAATCATAGATAATAAATAAAAAAAAAAATAAAAAAAATCAAGGTTTTTGATTACAGCTGTACAGTCTTAATATTTGGATTACTGGTAATATCAGAGTTGTAAATAACACTCAAATGTTAGACAATGTTAATCATGTCTTATATGGCTGAAATCTGCCAGACAGACTAAAACTCTATCTTTTGACTGTAATATACAAAGTCACAAAAATGCAACATGAGCTGTTAAAATGATAAATCATTGTAAATTGAATTATAATTCTATTATAATGGAGCATCAATAAATTATGCAAGTATACAACTGTTTTGTTCTGATCTATCTATCTATCTATCTATAGCTGACAATATCTGTCTGTCTGTAATCAACATGGTGAGAATAATGAGACTGTCATCTGAAACTATGAACTTCTGACTGAAAGAGGTGTGCTTTTAAAATGGAAATATCCACATGAATGTCTAGTTAACATTCAGTATTTTACTCATCACAGATCATTCTTAAATCGGTTCCTATGTGCATCAGCATAGTGTTTAGCTACTTTATTCCCAGTCTGCATTAGCAGACATCTATAAAATAGTTAATAATTACTATTAAAAAAAAGCCGCCTTAGTTCACAGCATACGCTGGCCCATCAGCTGGACAACATCACTTGTCCTAATTTTCCTTTCGCATTAACATTCTGCGAGCTCCAACCACTTAATGCTCCTGTAAACACCAACATCATGATGACAGACGTTAGTTGAATTTGCATCTTGCTTTGTTGAGGCCTGCTGTCTCGATAGCCTGCATTACAGATCTTAAGAGTAGATCCTTGAGCTAGCGCACACTAGAACAGATGTAGATCGACACACCTTTCAAGTCATGTAGGGTCATCTAAAACACTTTGAACACCAACTGGAGTAATGCACTTACTTAACCAACAATAGTTCTTCAGCTTTTCCAGGAATCTGGAAGAACCTGCTTAGTGTCTGTCTCTGAGAGGTTTAGCAATAGTTCAGAAGTGTAGTACATATTTCTCATTTTGATTTTCTAAGGTCCGCCATTCCCTGTAGGGACAGTTGCTGCACACATTCTCTGTAATGTTTTTTTTTCTCACGTTCATGAATCCTGTTGTTATCTTTGTTATTTAAATACTTATCATTTGCGCCAATGACGCAAGGTCTTCCCTAAACCTCCGGTCTAAGAAATGATCAGACATCAGTGTTCTCATCTGTCAATACTTATTTCAATTTCAGTTTCTTTATAAAGACAAGAACCAGATTTTAGACCTTTTCAGTTGATGAAGCATTCAGGGGGAGGATGTTTTTAGACTGATGAAAAATGTTGATAAAGAGAAGCCAGGGTGGTTGTTGCATAATAGTTAAGAATCTGGACATGCATGCATAAACTTTCTCTTGACGATCGAGTTTGTATCATTTTATCAACTACATATCATATAACTGCAATACATATCTTTGTTGGAAAGTGTGTGTCTCCACCTCTTTGCTGCCATATTGTTACTCCTAACTAGGTTAGGATACCTCTCTAGCAATCTTAAATAATTTAGAAGCTGAGACCTAATCTTAACACTTAGGAACCTTTATAATCACACGTTAAGTCTAGCAAAGAGAGTAAAATTACATCGTTCTTAGAATTGTGACACACTTAAAAGACTTAAAATTTTACTCTGAGCAGCTTTATAGATATGGCCCCTGGTCTGGGGCAAAGGTTTCAGGTTCAGATCATAATAATTTTACCTAGATCACAGTTCCATCACCATGTGCACAGCCTAGCATTGAGCTGGTGATCCTCACACCTACTATTAGTGCACTTAAAATCTGCCTTCCAAGACAACTCCTGCATGACAGTAAGTGTTAAGAACCACTGCACTAGAGCATCATGAAAAATACCCATCTATGGATATGTTGTCCTTGTAAATATTCCAAAAATGACCAAAATATATTTTATATATTATTAATCTTTTCGAATCTGACTGTGAAATTGAGTTGTGAAAACACTAATTATAAATGTTTAAATTTGAAGAATGACATCCAGAATCAGCCAGCTTGAATTTGGGCATATGAGCCTCAAACTACAGATACTTTCTGGACCGTGATTGTGTGTGTGTGTGTGCACATGATCCAACATTTGTTGTTCTGTTGACCGATGAAAGGAAATTATTACTAAATTGATTCCTGCAGGTATTCTGTTCCAGCCAATACACAGCACACTGTAGTGTACATCTCTGCAGATAGATTAATTTTGTACCTATGACAGTCTGTAAAACTTAAAGAGATCAGAGGGTCTTCGGTGCAGCCCATTTGTCTCACTTTGTCATTGTTTCAACAGCAGAACAGAACACAGTGTTCCTGAACACTCATACTGTAAGCTGGACTGCAGACAAAGACCACGCATACACACAAATATCAACATAGACATTGTTATCTTACATCAAGGAAACAAATTCAAAGTTGAGTGAAGGTGAGCTATGTTTAGTTGTATGGGGGTAGGTATGCATGAGAGGTGTGTGTTTGTGTGTTCATATGTAGTGGTTGCAGTCTGGCAAGTTTTAAATCACTCTCACAGACTAAACTGCCCAGTTTTCCACACGCAGGTAAGAACCTCTTGCTTTATAATGCACACACACACTATAGCAAAGAAATGCACTGACATTTACATTTTGTAAATGTCCTCCTCACAGATATAGTGAAACATGTCTTAAACCAAGCTTAAATGCTCCTTGTGAAAACGATTGCATATGGTATCTGATTGAACTCTTAAGGTCTGGGAGTTGAACTCATCTGTGTGTTCAAGTTTTTGTCTGAGTGAGTTTGGATTACGTAGCAGGGGTTCTTCCTCTAACTGTGATCAATGACAATTTAACAAAACAAGCAATAAAGATGATTTCACTATTCTGGGAAATGAGGAGGACATCCTGCCATTATGTTAGAAACTTAACCGATACGTGTGTGATGTTGTGCTTTTTGATCCTGGAATGTTTGAGGAGGACATGGCTTTTATGAGTGTGCTAAGACAAAAATGAAAACATCTTCACTAATATAGTCAGAAACTGACATTTGAAGTGCACTAGGACTATTTGAAAGGCTCATAAATCAGCCAAATTATTACATTTAATACTATCAACAGATTTGGGCAAGGGTTAGGTTTAGGGACAAAGTCAATATAAAAATCTTACTTGTGTACCTTTGCACACACGTTTTAATCTGTCTGTCCAAATATACATGAGACAATTGATTATTTATCATCACCGCTGGATTTTGAAGCATGCAAACAATGCCAAGGTCAGAGGCATTCATCGTGATATCACAAAAATTGGACTGGTATGATTTCAGTCGCGCTAAAGCGTTTCTATGACATTTAATAAGACAAATTATTGTTTTAGTTTGACTGAAATCAAACTCTTACAAAGCATGCAAGAACATTATTCAAGGATCTGTAAACAGAACAGATCCTTTCAGATTGCTGCCACTAAAAGCCAGACACCAATGAGGGAAATGTTGGAATATACAGCTCCATATCACTGTGATATCATATAATTAGCTCTATAAAGCATGTGCATGAGAAAACCTAAGTATTCCACAAACAGAAGATCTTACAGACAGTTTTCTCATCACTCTTGTGTCTGTGTTGCTGTGTTTTATGACCTGTTCTTCCTCTTTGCCATTGTCCTGAATGTCTTCCAGCTCATTTATTTTTAGCTATTTATGTCTTCACCACTTAAGTGCTAAAGGACTAATGCATCCCAGCACAATGCAATTACTATGTCAAGTGCAATTCCAAACAGTGCATGAAGACAATGAGTCTTCTGAGTTTCTGTTCTAGATGGCATGCTAGATAACACACACGTACTGAAAAAAAAAATGTGGAAGTGCTGCATTTTTCTGCAGTATGTGCATGCATCATCTTTGGGGAGTACAGGAGCCTGATTGCGCCAATCTCAACCTGTTCTGAGATTATATAAAATCTTTAATAATGTTGAACAACTGGCACTAATAAAATGAGCATGTCAAAAAAATACTGTACCTATGGTATAAATAATAACAGAAAGAGAGATAGAAAAACTGAAGCTGTGCTATAAAGTATATCTGACTTCAATTTTCATGTATTTCTAATATAGGCCTGACTGAAGAAGAGGATCTTGCCATGTCCAGTGGTACACACACGCACACACACACACAAAATATACATTTGTAAACCAAATACACTCTAATAGGTGGTTTTCTATGATTGTAGATGTTAACAGGGAGGCCGTATTCCAGGCGACAAAGGTTCGAACCCATTTGAAACAAGATGGAAGCTGGATCAACAGATCTCAAAATGTTGAGGACACACAGTCAGATGTAAAAGCACGGTAAATGCAGGTTTTCACTGTCATCTGCTGGCTGAGAGCGGTAGTATCAACCAGCCAAGGTCTTTCTCATGTTTGCTTGAACTCTCAAATTATTTCACGTTTTACTCTCTAACAGTAAACCAGTAAAGCTAGGAAAACCTAAAAATGTGTCATCACCTGAGAGCAGTTCGGTCTCTTCCTCCATCATGCCATGTGCAGAGAGTACCGCCACCACCTCCTCCAGCCTGGACTCGTCCACACCCCCTCAAAGCTCTTCTGTCATGTCAGCCTTAAGGAAGTTTGAGTGAGAGCTTTTCTTATTTTCCTTGTGTGTAATTCCTGTATTCAGTGTTTCTGCATTCAATCAGGGGCCTAAGGGAGAGCCGTCTGCTCTCCCTTAGGCCCCTGAACCCAACAGAAAACACACCAGTCAAGAGTGGGTCCAATCTGGCCAAAAGGTTTTGTACATCTTTCTTTACTGGATAGAGCCTTTTATCCTTTAATTTCCTCAAATGCAAGTCAGAATAGCTGAGGCAGAAATCCTTAATTTCTAACAATACTAAACTGCAATATCAACATTTAATATTTCATTAAGGCCAATCAGATGCTTCATAATTATTCTGAATGTGTTCCAGTGCACATCCTGTCCTTGAGGACTCCAGAAGAGCACATGTAGAGAAAGCAGTGGAGCCATCCATAGTCAAAGCCACAGAGCAACCACTGAAGACACCAGCAGATGCTTCTGTAAAGGACATAGTGGAAAAACCAATTGCCATACTTGCAGAGGAACCATTGAAGACATATGCAGATGTTTCTGTAAAGGACATAATGGAGAAACCTATAGCTAAACCTTTAGAGGAACCGATGAAGACGCATGCAGACGCTCCTAAATTGGATGTAGTGGAGAAACCTATAGTTAAACCTATAAAGGAACCATTGAAGACGCATGCAGACGCTCCTAAATTGGATGTAGTGGAGAAAACTATAGTTAAACCTGTAGAGGTACCATTGAAGACACATGCAGACATTCCTAAAACGGATGTAGTGGAGAAACCTATAGAGGAGCCATTGAAGACGCATGCAGACGCTCCCAAATTGGATGTAGTGGAGAAACCTATAGTTAAACCTATAGAGGAACCATTGAAGACACATGCAGACACTCCTAAAACGGACATAGTGGAGAAACCTGTTGAAGAACCACTGAAGACGCATGCTTACACTCCTAAAATGTATGTAGTGGACAATATAGTTAAACCTGTAGAGGAACCACTGGAGACACCTACAGATGTTCCTGTAAAGAACATAGTGGAGAACCCTGCAGAGGAATCACTGAAGACACACACAGAGACTCCTGTAGAGGGAACAAGGAAGACGCCTGTAGATGGAGCTTCAACAGATCAAACACTATCCAGTGGAGTGCTGCAGGAGAAAGCAGTCAAAACCCTACATGAGAACCCAGCAAAACCTTCAGGTACACTGACTACAGAGAATCAAGAAGATGATACAGTTGAACAAGTCTCAATAGCACATGCACCTGTAGTTGAGGCTCCATTCGAACCCAGACAAGCAGAAAACCAGCCTACAAGTGAACATGGGGAACTTTCACTAGTATCTGCTCTGGAAATTCCAACTACAGAGTCATCAACTAGATCAACTACAGAACCGACCGAAGAACCCCGTGTGGCAGCCCTGGAAGAGAACCACAGACTGAACAGTCAAGCTGAATTGAAGTAAGTCGCTTATAAGACACATTTATTTAGATATGATGTCTGTGGACTTCTTTGAGTAGGTGTTTTTGCTTTAATTAATTTCTATAGCAATAACATTAAAATATGTAATTAAAGGACCCACAAAATATTAACATAGTAAGTATATAGTTTATTAGCTAAATTCAGTTATGCAAACACACAGAAACATCAACACTGTAAAATTAAGTGTGACCTGTCTGTTTTACTGAATACCTTCATATATTTTTACAATAAAGTTTACAGGTATTAGTATTTAACACAGTTCCATTCTTAATAAGTCGTGTGTGTATCTGTCTCTCTTTGTAGTGTCAAAGGTAAAACCATGTGTTCCTTCTGCAAGCTGCCCATAGATGGAAATGTGAAAATCTCCATCAACATTCCTGCCATTTGCTGCCATCCAGATTGTTTCAAGGTTTACTTTTTAAATCTTTTCTTCCTCTGTACTCAGGCTCAGAAGTCAGTGTCTCACCCTTCCACCAAATTGTTTTCATCTGAGTCTTGTCTCATATTTCCACTTGGTTTCAAGGTTTTTGGTGATCTGATCACAGGTGGTCAGTGCTCAATACAGATGTTAACAAGGTCAAAAACATTTTGTGATGGGATCATTGAAACCTACAGAAGCCCAAGACATTTGTTATTATTATTTTTTGTTTTCTCGTACTTGCAGCTCAAAGGGATATTTCGTTTACTCGCCCTCAAGTGGTTCCAAACCTGCATGAGTTTTCTTCTGCTGAGCACAAAAGAAGATACTTTGAAGAATGTTGGCAACCAAACAGTTGATGGCAGCCCACTGTTTCCATAGTATGGAAAAAATATTATGGAAGTCAATGGCTATTATCAACTGTTTGGATACCAACATTCTTCAAAATATCATCATACTCAAAAATCAATCGAATAACAAGCAGTACTAGACAAATGCTGTTGTTTTTCATTTCTGTTTGTTCTCAGCAAAATGCGTTTTTTTTTTCATTAGTTTTGTTTTTTGTTCAGAGAGCTTCTTTTCAAAAAGCTACCTGTTAGAATAAAAACATAAATGTTTTGTTTGTTTTGGAATGAATCTACACATGCTAATATGCTTTGATTATAATAATAAAATAAAATCAGTCACAGCTGTTCTTTTTTTCAGAGACAGGGTCTGTTGTAACCTAAACATTTTACTTGTGTATTTAACCTTTTCAATGGTCTAAAATAAAATCTCAAGAGACGCATGTTAATAGCAGGTGGAAAAAAATGCCTATGCTTGGAAGCAAGGCCCAAAATTAACTTTTCGACCACATCTGCCAATGCCAGTGAATTGGCTTTATGTTTTACTGCCTTGGAACTTTTTCTTTATTTTCTGTGAGAATTAAGATGTGCCGCAGCGTGATGAGTAAAGCTGTGTCTGTGTCTTTGTGTGTTTTAGTGTAATGGTTGCAGCAGTCCTCTGGATGATCTCTCTTCATCTATGTACCACTATGCTGGGGAAATCCTCTGCGAGAAATGCTTTGATCAAATCTTCCAGCTCTGATGACTCATCCTACTGCAACCTACTCCACAACAACTTATCACCATGACACCCAAGCACATCTCAGTGTCTACCAGCAAGTTTGCTGTAATTCAGCACTAATAAAAAAAAAAAATCAGTCTTTATCAGTAGAGGAACTGCTGTCGTAGGTTTATTGCACATAAATTCAACACAAATTTTCAGTAAATGGTCGTGCTGTGTGTGCATGTCTTCCTATATACTGACAAAACTCCCCATGAGGTTTAATAAAGTATTTCTCTCTTTCTGATCAATATATTCCTTGTCGTCTTCTAACAATTCACTGTTTCAAATGTATTTTTTTAAATATCCTATCAGCTTAAAGGAGAAGTTCGCTTCCAGAATGAAAATTTCCTGATAATTTACTTACCCCTATGTCATCCAAGATGTTCACGTCTTTCTTTCTTCAGTCGAAAAGAAATGAAGGTTTCTGAGGAAAACATTCTAGGATTTTTCTCCATATAGGCTAGTGGACTTCAATGGGGGTCAACCATAGACTGTATAAAAACATGGACGTAGTGTCCGTGACGTCACCCGTAGGTTTCTGAAGAGCGTTTTTGAAACTCAAAGTGAGCGGAGCCGGCCGTCGCCATCTTGGCAGCGCGTCACCCGCGTCACTCCCGGGTAATCGAGAATGGGCAAAGTTCTTTGCTGAAGCCACGCCCACCTAGCTCGACGGTGGTGACAGCAGGGCACTCCACCTGTCACTCAAGTGGCCACGCCCTTAATTATGCAGAACTTTAAGGCTTAATATAATTTAAACAGACGAGTTATAAATAAAATTCACCCCCCTCACAGTTGTCATGAAGGGCAAAATTAGCTATATAGACCAAAACCACTATTTGTACCAGGCTGTAAAAAATCTTTTTCTGCTGTAAAGTTCAGTAGCCCCTCACTGCAGAACAAAGATCCAGGGGGCGGGGTTGGATCCACATCTAGGGGGTGGAGATGGGTGGGTTTAGGGATCAGGGGGTGGAGATGGGTAGGTTTAGGTATATGTAAGGTGGGAGGAGTTGGATCTGGATCCAACCTCGCCCCCTGGATCTTGTGTTCTGCAGTGAGGACCATCTCGTAAAGTTGGGGAGTCTATGGGAATGACTCCCTTTTGGAGCCAGTCGATGAATTGCAGTTTGTCACTTCCGTGGTGGTTTCACGAGAGAGACCGGAAGGTTGCCGCTTGGGATCAACGTGTTGAAGGTCCAAATAGCAGTTTCAGTGCAGCTTCAAGGTGCTCTACACAATCCAAGCCGAAGAATGTGTCTTATCTAGTGAAATGCAATACAAATTTACATACTTTTTAACCACAAATGCTCGTCTTGCACTAGCTCGACCTCACGCATTACATAATTACGCACATGTGATGTAGGCAGAAGTAGCGACCCAGTGTTTACAAAGCGAACGTGCAAAGAAAGTATTTTCAACTTTACAAAAAAAGGTTAAACAAATAGAAAGTGAGGTGGAGTTTACCCTACCTTTTTAACCGACGAGACAGACAAAGAACTAACCGTTCATGACTTTTCCAACATGATTACACAATGCATGAAGTCATGGATGCGCAAAACGAGCATTTGTGGTTAAAAAGTATGTAAAAAGAAAATGATTGTTTCACTAGATAAGACCCTTGCTCCTTGGCTGGGACCTTTGAATCTGCATTGAAACTGCAGTTTGGATCTTCAATCCGCTGGCCACTACTGAAGTCCATTATATGGAGAAAATTCCTGGAATGTTTTCCTAAAAAAAATGTAATTCTTTGTCACTGAAGAAAGAAAGTCATGAATATCTTGGATGACATGGGGGTGCTTGGTGCTCCTGGAAATTTTCATTCTGGAAGTGAACTTTAACTTATCCGGTTTAAATGTCTGTAGCTGTGACAACAAATTGACAACACTGATCATCTGCTTTCATTAAAGGAAATTAAAGTTTATTCAACACACAGTTTATGTAAATTAACTTTAGTCTGAATTCTGTATGTTTTATTAATCATTTACAGTTATCAATTTTACTGTAGAAATAATTTTTAGTTTTCTGAAGTAAGCCAGTAAGTGAACAATAAAAAAACATTAGTTCCTTGGATCGAGCACCATCATTGATCAGGTTCAGCATATTGCCACAGTTAGTCAAAATATACAATGTTTTCCTAAAAAAAATGTAATTCTTTGTCACTGAAGAAAGAAAGTCATGAATATCTTGGATGACATGGGGGTGCTTGGTGCTCCTGGAAATTTTCATTCTGGAAGTGAACTTTAACTTATCCGGTTTAAATGTCTGTAGCTGTGACAACAAATTGACAACACTGATCATCTGCTTTCATTAAAGGAAATTAAAGTTTATTCAACACACAGTTTATGTAAATTAACTTTAGTCTGAATTCTGTATGTTTTATTAATCATTTACAGTTATCAATTTTACTGTAGAAATAATTTTTAGTTTTCTGAAGTAAGCCAGTAAGTGAACAATAAAAAAAACATTAGTTCCTTGGATCGAGCACCATCATTGATCAGGTTCAGCATATTGCTACAGTTAGTCAAAATATACAACAAATACACCCAGAAACATAAAATCACACAGACGGTGACACTAAGAATGTCTGTAAATACTGAATTCAAATTGACACAAAGAAAGCTGTTCACTACAGCGCTGTCACACAGAATAAAACACCCACATCTGACTGAGGAAACAACACACTCAAACTTTCTTAAAAAGATGGAATGTGTGAGAGAGAGATGAGAGAGGCTAAAATCCTGGCAAACCGCAAGGCATTAATAAGACCATGAAGCACAATGAATACAATCATTAAAATGAATAAATGGCCATGAGAGTATATAATAATGTGTGCAGCAAAGACAGAGAGAGAGGAGACAAATGAAGAAATACAGAAGTTAGATTCCACCCCTCCAGAGATCCACTGTACAGTAGTTTGTGGTTTTACGTGTAGTGCTTCAATGAATTGTTGTATTTTCATTGGTAAATCTACCTTAGTGTAGTTTGTACTAATTTGTCTCATGAAACCAGTCGTTTGTGTGTGTGTGTGTTTGTGCTCTGTATGATAGAACTCTGCAGGGGCTTCATGGAGCTCTTTTGCGTTTCCTCACCGGCCACACTGATGACACCACTGAAACTGCTGCCACAGGCGACAGGAAAGCGGGCCTAGCAACACCGAACCTAGCAACGGATTCCCTTCCTTCCGAGAAACCTAAGAACAGCGTAGTTGTAGGTGGTGGCAACCACGTAAACGAACTAGGAAAAAAGAAGGAAGAAACAACACGTGTCTGATGTATTCCTCTGCAAAAGGATTTTTATATAGGAGAAATTTGAGCTCTTGTGGCATGAGTGTTTATATCCTTTTGAGACTTTACTATAAACATCAGGCAAGGAATGCAATTCCAGCAATAGCACATCATTATTTATTTACAGTCTTGTCCAAAGCAGCGTATAGCCCTTATATTTTAGAGGAACAATACCCCTGGAGCAACAGGGGCTTTAGTTCCTTGTATAGTAAAGCATAGTATTGCATAACTAAAAAAAAAATACTTAAAAAAAGTTGTGTAATTTGTTAATGCAGCAATATGCATAGCTATTGAATCTCTTATATCAATAAATTATCACAAGCACATTTAAAAAGAAAATCACAGAAAGAAATGTGATTAATTATACTGTTACACATAGTATACTTTTCAGAATTAAGACCAAAAAAGTGAAGTTCAGTCTGTAAATCTCTAGCAGCATTTGTTTTCAGATGGCACATATCTAATGCAATGTAACTGAAACTATTAAGTGTAGCTTATGTGTCCAAATAATTTTTAAATTATCACAAGCACATTTAAAAAGAAAATCACAGAAAGAAATGTGATTAATTATACTGTTACACATAGTATACTTTTCAGAATTAAGACCAAAAAAGTGAAGTTCAGTCAGTGTAAATCTCTAGCAGCATTTGTTTTCAGATGGCACATATCTAATGCAATGTAACTGAAACTATTAAGAGTAGCTTATGTGTCCAAATAATTTTGGGAGCTGCTTAATTACGGTATTAAATGTTTACATCAGTCTCATTGTGCTCCTCAACACGACAGAGAAGCTCTGGTTGCTCATAGTGATTGTCTTTAGATAAAGCCTGAGAAATGACTGCTGCCAAATATACAGGAAAAGGGAGTAGAGACGCTGGGGATCTGTCATTAGCAGAGAGGTCAGTTACTGACTGTAAACTAAACATTCCCCTGCTGTTCTTCCATTATTAACTTCATGCTCTGCACTCTGACGTAAAGAATTTAGTGCAAATAAAATCCCAGTGAATTTGAATTCAATGGCAGTGGAATTTTGTCAATAGGCGTAGAAAATATAAATGAATATGTAAATATAATAAGCAATAAATGTACATTTACATGTACATTCTAAGTGATCGTCAAGATGCATCAATCACTGTCAACTGTAATTTTTAAAATCATTAAAACCATTAAAATAACGAACTTGCTGCTTTCCAGAATACAAAGCAATAAGCCTCTTGAAGAAGGTCACTATAACCTTGCACAAAATCTTCTACAGTAACTATAAATGACTTCACAGATGTAAAACATTAGACCACTAACCAGGGCAAGAAGGGTGATTCCGGCTCCAGCAAATGCACAGATGTAAAGGTCATAGGTCACATAGAACTGGAAACATAAAAAGGGATATCAGAGACATGATCTCTTGAAACTCTGAGCATGTGCGTGTGTCTAGGATAATAAACATCTAACCTCTGGTGTTTTGCAGATGCTTGCCAGTGTATTTCCACAAACAATCCCCGGCACAGCATTCCAGGGAAGAAACCCTATATAAAACAACACAGACATCATGATTGTGAGCACACACAAGCATACGTACAGATGAAGGGTGCAGACCTACCATACATCCGTGCATCCATGCAGACCCTTGCTTGCTGGTTGAACAAGGTGGTTTCTGACAGGATGTTGACTTTGTGACAGGAGCTTTCCATATTAATGAAGAAGAGCACAGGAATGGCTGTGAAGCCAAAGACAACCAGCCAGATCACGGCGAGCACGTACGTCAGGATTATGAACTGGACAAGAGAAACAGCTAATTAGATCTGTGCAACACAACAGGCATGGACATTGCAAACTATATAAGAAAGTACAGTAAGTAAAACTTGATTTATATATAGCAGCACCTTAACAATGTTTTTACTGCTTTACACAAGTAATATACATATATGGTCATAAATGTTCACATACATATATAGATATAAAAGAAGATATAAAATAAAAAAATAAAACTGACTTTATGAAATAGCTGACTAAACCAACTGCTCACAGGTTATCAGGATACAACCAAGCAAGATGCTGTCGGATGACCTGAGTGATCTAGCTGGAGTATATATCAGAATTCCCACACTTTCTGAACCTTTCCAGTCATTTATGATGATGGAATAAGTAGTTTCAAAATCATTTTATAGAGATCACATTTACAGAGAGTAATTTCACACTGCATAAATACTTTAGAACTGAGTATAACTGAAAAAGCATATTGTCTATTGAATTTACCATAGCTTCTCCATGACTTTTATGACATGAGGTTTTAATATTTTGAATAATTATTATCAATTAATGTTATATTATAAAATTAATATTATAATATTGGCTATTTTAATACAAATTATTTTAAAAAGTATTTTACTGTTGATTTTTTTCAGGCCAAGAAATCACATTTTTTAAATTTTCAACTTTTCGTATCGTATTATTTCATTCATCAAGAAAGATGCGAAAGGACCAGCGACCACAAAATTCAGAATCTAACTCTCTCTCTCTCACACACACACACACACCAAATGTCCCCACAAGGATAGTAAAACCTGCGGTCCCCATGAGGGAAATTATTATTTTTTTAAATAGTAAATGATGTTTATCTGAAAGTATAACAATGCAAACAGGTTTTCTGTAAGGGGTAGGTTTAGGGGATAGAAAATATTGTTTGGTCAGTATAAAAGTAATAGAAGTCTATGGAAAGTCCCCACAATTCACAGAAACACACACACACTCACAGTCAGGCTGAGGCAGCGCCCAAACTTGGTGCTCCTGAATTCTCCAAACGTCTGCTTTACTGCACTGGTGGTGTAAAAACCTTCAGCCAAAAGCAACAATCCATAGAGGAAAAAGAAGGAGGCCAGACCGTAGATCACATACTGGAAATATTTTATACTGAAACACAAAATATAGAATAAATAACACATGCAAACATTCATAGGACAAATTACAACAAACTATAGCCTACTAAAGAACACTGATTTATGAAAAGCAATTCTGTTCTCACATTATGTACTGCACTGTACATAATCACCAAAAAAAGGCAATAACTCACAAGTCTGCCAGCACAATGAAATCCTGGACGTCCCTTGCGAAGTAGAGCTCTACAAATGTGCGTGTGTGAGTGAGCGCCTCATGCCCTCCCCCGCAGAAGAGCGCCACACCGGTGTAGCAGAGCAGGGTGGCCAGCAGGCTGGTGTAGGGCACGGCGCCCAGGCAGCGGATGCAGCAGTCATAGCAACCTGTAGGTGAGTAATATATCAACACACCAACTGCACATGCAGCACATACAATACACACACACATTTATACACACACACTGTACTACCAATACACAAGTGCGCTCATACTCAACTACAAAATCACACCGATGACCTCGAAATGAGTACGCAAAGAGTTAGTTGGCCTACAGTTAGTCAAGGACACACACAAAAACACATGCATGCACATACTCAATGAGCTCTGTGAGTAAATGTATCTGATGCACACACACGCTTGTAAATAGTCAGTCAGTGTATAACGGAATCACAAATGAACAAGCCAAATGCAGACAAAGTGAACGCAGGCAATGAAAAAGCCCTGTTCGAAATCCCGAACCGCAAAAGAAACCCAAATTACAAAAACCTGAAAGTAAGAAAGTAAAATACGAGGCAGCAGAAGAGATGACAGGTAAAACAACTGCGTCAATAAAAGGCTAAAAACAGTTGTTTTTAAGCAACTTAACCAAAAGAAGCCAAACAAACGATAAGCCCCAGAAGGCTCAGCTATGGAGTTCTGTGGTCTTCAGTCTGTGAGGGAAGATGATGCATCTCAGGTCACCTAGCGCTTTACACAACCACGGCTGTTTCACTGGAAACATCGACACTGCTGAGTCGAACCCACGCCAGGAGAGAGCCACGCAGACGCTTGTCCACTCACTCCAGAGAGATGTCTGTTCTCTATTGCAGTGATGTCTAAACTGAAGGAGAAAATTTCTCTTTCTTTCTTCAGATACACTCCACTGTCCACCTCAAGGAAGAAAAAAATGCTTCGCTTAAGCTGCTCCTCTCCCTCCCTCGCTTCTTTCTCTCCTTCTTTCCCTCCCTCGATCTCTCTCTCTCTCCTGAGTAGCCTGGTGTCAGGATGAGATTTGGGGAGGGGGGGGGGTTCATGTGGGTTTGAGGTTTTGTGGTCAGAAAAAGAAGCACTTGTGATAGTCAAAAAGGCTTTTGTTTTAACAACAAAAACTATCATTGTGAACAAACAAAATACACACACGCACACACACACTCACAGGCCTCAGCAGTGGAGTACGTCATTGCGTTTCCACTCATAGTGGCACAGACTGACACCACCGGGGTTACAATTGGGATCGTGGCAGGTCAACTAGTCTTTAAACTGTTTTCTTCTCAACAAGTCTGTCACTCACAATAATCTGATTACTATAAAACACACACTTTTATCACACCTTCTGTTTGAGAATGTGGAAATGCTTTTGGGTCCATCCATCCATCCATTCTCCAAAACACTTAAAATAAACTCTTCAAGTACTTAATTAAAGGGATAGTTCACTCAAAAATTAACATGCTGTCATCATTTACACACCCTCATGTTGTTCCAAATCTGTATGACCTTCTTTCTTGGGTGGATACTCTGAAAAAATTTTCTGTTTTTTGTTTGTATAATGAAATTCAGTGTGGTCCAATGTTGTTTGGACACCAGTTTTTCTTTGTGTTTTTCAGAAAAAAATTAATGTATACAGGTTTGAAACAACATGAGAATGTAAAAATGACATCAGATTTTTCCATTTTGATTGGACTATCCCTTGTTTTGAGCAGAAAATAGAAAATTTGCCGTTACAGTTCAAACAGAAGATGTGATTCTGCATAGGGCTATTAAGTTGTTATCCAAAAAAGGAGAAACCTACAAAACAATTCAATGCATACATACATATGAATCCTTAATGCAACTACATTAAATATTTTCCCAGTTCAAACTGGCACTGGGCCGTACAAGAGTCCCCTTCAGAGAAGAGAATATTTGACCTAAAGACCTGATGTGACCTCCTGGAGTCTCCTGGGGTTACTGGTCTTCTCATCCACACCTCTGAGGCGTCGTAGCAACTGTCTTAGCCAATCAAAACCGGAGCCAGCTGGTTAATCAATCAAAACAACCTTTTAATTAATAAGGATCCATTAAATGCATCTCCATCACAAATGCAGAAGTGATGCCTTTAAGCTTCTGACCAACCAGATGGCATCTTACACACATCATACAAAAAAGAATCATTAAAATGCCTGTATACATTTGTCTAAACAACTTATATCACATGCAAATCAAAGACACACCAATCAATTAAAATTCTGCCCATAAATATTCTTAGTGGTTAAAATGGGTTTAGGTGAGTTCAGGTAGACTTACCCATGTGAGTATGTGTGTGCGTATCACGCTCTGTCTCTGTGATGTGCCGTGTAGTTTAATCTCCCTCGATGCTTTTATGATTCTCACTCACGCTTTTGTCCCTGGAACAATAAACAAGCCCCTCTGCTCTCTCTCACAAACTCACACACACAGGGGCAGATCTTAAAGATGCAGCGCCCCTCTTTCACTGCCATGATAAATAAAGAGTAAGAGTGTTTGTGTGTGTTTCAGTGCAATGAACCCTAAATGTTCACATGCACATGCATTATAAAGATGAGCACACTGGTCAAAATGTTTGTGCACAAACACTAGTAGCACTTACTTCTGGGCTGAGTTTTTCTACATTAACATTCCTATAAATACACTTTTACTTAGCTATATAAATGGGGACATTCCATTGACTTCACATAGTGTTTCTGTATACAGCATGTTACAAATGCTACAACTGTTAGACTTGTAGTATTTATAAATATTATAAATAATACAAGTCTAACAAAACATTCTGCATTTTTAGAATTAAAAAGTTTTAATTTTAATAGCATTTTTACAAATGAGATTTGATTCACTGTTGCTCACTTCTGGGTACAAAATTGTCCCCAAACTATGATTAAGTTGACACACACAAACACACACACACAAACACACACACACA